GCACTCCTGTGGGATACTCCATGCGCCCCAGCATTGCAGCATTCACAAGCCACACTGCTATCTCAAGGTATATAGAAAAAAACATTTAAAGCTGTGTCTATGCCTGAATTGTTCATTCTCTGAATCGGCATCGAATCTTCAGATTTGGATTCGGCCGAATCGAATCGGGAACAGTGACCAAATCAACGAATTGAATCGTTGTCCCTGATTCAGGCCGAGTCAAATAGGGCCTGCTTCACACACTCCTAATGTGTATACCCATCTAGGACCCATTTGGTCCCATCTGTCTAGAAAATTAGGCATGCTGGATATTATGATGCTTTTTTTTTTTTTTTTTTGAAAGTTGGGGATTGTCTGACCAAACTGTCCCACTGCTTGCCATAAGCCAGTTGGCTGCTGCAGTCAATTTGTCATTGGCTGTCTTGCTGAGTTGGTGATACTTTGTAGTTCTCGCAGTGTTTTAGGATCCTTCCATCTGAAAGGGATGAAATATGCTAAACACATTAGTGTTGGCTTTTCATTAGGTTTTTCTGTTTAAAAGTGACCTATACAAAGTGGCAGTCTCTTCTCTTTTAAGTAACATTACACAAACATAGAAGGGTAGAAAGTTCAACCCCATCCAAAGGAATCATTTCTCTTGTCAGTTATAATGTGAAATGTATCTTATAAAATGCAGGAGTGGTGGAAGGCTTTGAATAATACCTTTTATTGGACTAACTGTATAGTTCTCACTCCCAACTATACAGTTACTCTAATAAAAAATATTACAAGAAACCAACCCTTTTATACATTTCATGGACTGGACCATCACGGTTACAAAAACACTCCAGCTCTGAATATAGAGTATTCAGAGGAAATGTTGAGGCCCTTTCCTTGTTCTACTTCACATGGTAATGTCTGTGTTTATTCCAATGTCTATTCATTGACCATCTTCTGAGGTTTTTCTCACTAATTGGTAAAAGGGCTCACTCTTAAAAACACCTGATGCACAATGAATGTCCTGCATCAGCACTGATGTTGAAAATTGGTGGGATCAGAATATAGTAGATCATAAAAAAGTTGGTATTGTCATGGAGTTCTTTGGCTTGCCCTTGTAAGATCTACCAGTGATTATCTGAAGATGCCACTATGTATCTTGATGTTTTCTGGTTACTTATGAAGTCTGGGTTTCTCAGTATTGACCTGGTCTCAGCATCCACTGTTTTCTGTTAATAATTGTATATCTCTTCTTTTATCTCTTATTTATTTGGTGCACCTACCAATTTATATAACTCTGACTCTGTACTATATGCTCAGAAAACTACTGAGCATTGAGAATGTATTAAGTTCTTCTCTATCAGGGACTAGTAAGGAACCAGGGCAAGCTGGTTGATGTAGCAGTTCAGAAACGGCAAATACCAGTCAGTAGTAGCTGACAGCTAGCAGCAAGGGAATGAGAGGCATTTTAAAAACAAGGTAGGGGAACACAAAACCAATTTCGACTAGGTAGTAGACAGGAGACAACTGTTAGCTACTTTCCAACATACAGAAAAAAACAGACCTTAATTACCTTTGGCCCGTTTCCACAACACTTACCCATGCAAAGTTGAACTTATAATTCTCCCAGGAGTAGCCTAACTGCTACTGGACTGTTTGTATATGCATTTGTCAGTGTAAGGCCTTCAAAATTGGGCTGTGAATTTTACAGATATTTGTGACAGTAAAATTGGTTTCTCTCTCTTGTCAGTCCTCATCCAAATGAAGAGATGTTTATTTCCCAGCGTAAGTTCAAAATCCTTGCTGTGTATTAGCTCGGGAGACTGAAGGCCACGGCTGCATTTTGACAAAATAAGACTCAATCCGGTCTTTCCCCAGATAAATATTTCATGAGGTTTTTCTCTTCTTTGCCTGATATTGGTAGGGACGAGGTTCCAAAAGCAGCTGAGGTAGAAGCTTGCACTGCCAGGAAGAACTCTTCGTTGGCAGAGTTCGATCTGATGATTAAATAGGTTTTTTCCATTTCTTAGTTCTCATTTTCTGTGAAGCAGGAAATACCACATAGCTTGGGGTAAAAGCATTGCTTTCATGAGAATTTCAGTGATTATTTTCCCAATTTCCATGAAGTTCTTCTTTCAATTTTTGGATGGATTTCCAGACTATTGGGGCCTAACTATGGCTTTAAAGCACAGGCGTACTTTGTGTCCCCAGTATTGCAGAAGTTCCAAGATAAATGTTGCCACACAGTTGAGAAGATGTAGTCTACTGTCCCTTTTTATTGTCAGTGCTTTTTTTCCTCCCATCCCATCCCATCCCATCCCATCCCATCCCATCCCATCCCATCCCATGTAACATTAAAAGACTGTGCCTGTGTCCAGCTGAACGTACTGAATCCTGAACTTCTGTGACTGGACCAACCACAATCTATTCCCATCAGAGATGCACCTTTCATAGCTCCTTGGACTAACCTTGACCTGGTAAGAGAGATTTAATGATTATTAACTCCACTGAGAGTGCGGGCGATTGTCAGAAAAAGGCTGGGAGGGAAGGGGTCACATCTGAAAAGACAGAGCATTAAAAATTGTTCACTACGAGAGAATGGCTAAACTCTAATTGATTTCTTCTGCTGTCAGAAGCGTATAATATATGATCCTTTATGCAGTCAGACAAAGACTGGGACATAAAAATGCCTGAGAGAAACCATCAAAATTATTAATGGTGTTTTTCTAACCTTTTTAATGAGGAGATACTCGCTCACTTCCAACAGCCGTGCCAGTGTTGGCATCCTTGATGGTTGGTTTTTTGTTTTTTTTTTCCAAAGGGGCTTAATTGAGCTAGGTATAAATAGCATATCAGTAAACAAGACCTCTTGGCTTTGTGAATCATGCCTAAAATATTTGTAAGCCCTCTACAGCCTCTCTGATGGTGAAGAATGTGCTCATTAGGCTAGTCCAGATGTATTCAGCAATCCAGTGAGAGCCTAATTCATCCTGCAGATAAATCATTGGAATATTAATGTGGTTGTTTGCTGACAACTAGCACAACAAGGCTGAAGCAGCAGCTCAGTGAACCGCAGAGTGTGTGCCTATGTTAGAGGTGCACAAATGTAAAAGGTTTCGCCTGAGAAGGCTTTGGACAAAAGAATACAAGGGATCTTACCTATTTCATTTCTTTTCATTTGTCTCTTGTCTTTTAGTACTCCAACATATTTTTTACAAACTATTAAAAACTGGAGGGACAGGAGCAAAGAGGAAAAATCTCAGATGAGAATTTATATGGTAAATATTAACTGCTGAATAATCTCACTTAATAATTTAAATGTATGGCCTCAGTCTTGCTCTGGAAAGTTAGTTATGTAACCATGCATAAAGTCATGCATAGATATTAGTCGTAATTGTGGGGGGGTCCAGTTTGTTTGGGGAAAAAAGCAATGAAGTATGTGCATGTTTGCACACACAAATACACACACAACTATACATGCACGTGAGAATGAAGATATGGAACAGAGCTTGTAGGCCCAGATTCACCTCAAAGATAAATGTGGTCTGTCATGGGCTTTGTTTTGGTCCCGTAAAAAGGGTGAGACCAAATACAAAATCTGTTTTAGATCCAGGTCCAGTTTCTCCAGATTTAGGATGTTTAGATGCAGAACTGTGGTTTGGATTAACTGTAATCTATCCAAAGGCAATCTTAAAAGTCAATGTGTAATGATTATAATATTTTACATGCATGGAACCTTTTTCAGATGAGTGTACTTGCAAAAGCCTTATAATGAGTCCAGTTTGAGCTCTAAATATTGTATATATTCTCAGAGGTTTGAATAGAATGTAAATCATTTGCTTGGGGCGACGAGTCAATATAAAAAGCTGGAAGAACTCGGGAGTCTTGATTCTGCCACCTGCTCGCTGGTCAATATTCCCCTGACATCAGCACCCGTGCCACCTAGAAGAACAAATATAAGAATGAGAATGAAGTAAGTCTTATACTAATTTAGCTGCTGTGTTCTGATTCTCTCACCATAATCTCCTCTGCAAGCTGACATGAATTTCACTATCCATTATGTTTAAATCCTCTGTTTCCTGGCAATGATGCACACTCTAGCAATGCCAGTAAATAGATTTTATAAGGCTCTCCAGTGCTGTTTCAGAGCAATTACATAATACACCTGATGTTTCTACTGCATTTGGTGGGGGATTTAGCAGACTAAAATGTCAAATGCACGCCACAAAATTTGGCTGACATGTCTTTCAAGAACAGGTATTTGAAGGATCGTTTTGTTGGGGGCACCTTTTAGTAAGTGAACATCCTTGTGCCATTCATGATGTGGGAATTGTTTTATTCTTTCACAGAGTACAGAGGTATTTCGCGTGCAGTGGAAACATGCACCTATCATGATTATTTTTTTTTCACTGTATGTCTTCAGAGCCAGAGGGCTATCGTATTCCAGAATATCAGCAGAGTTGCTGGAGAAGCCACTCTTGGGCTACAAATCCTTTCTAAGTATATTATCAAATATTAGGGTAATTAAGAGCACATGGAGCAGGACAGGCATTTTGTTTTTGTTACAGTGTTTGGGTGCACATTTTGACGTTTTTGCATGTGTATGAGATCACACAGGTGATTTAGTAATAAATATTTTGCTGTTATGGAGCCTATAGGGACTCTGCTTTGAGATGATCATGAGGCTTGTGTGTTGTAGTGACTCTGATCAATATTCTGGTGGGGAATTTTTATTTCTGGCAGGACTCACCAAAGCTGGCTAGGTCAAAAGGAAGCTAATAGATGAAAACCAATCCTCTGAACTCCAGAGTAGTGGTTGAATAATAGACCCACAGCCAGTTCTCACATGAAAAAAAGTTGTAGAAATGTTGGCAAACAGAATAATAGGAAAGGGATGGTAGAGCCTTGTTTGTGCACGTAATACAGCTGATGCTATTGTGAAAAGTTTAAATTCAGAGAGGCATATCTTATTAGGAAGGGTTCCAAAGATTTCCCTATCCTTTTTGTACCAGTCCACTGAAAGGCAGTGGCTATCCCTGAGGAGGACGTATATATAGTGAAGCTGAGGTACTCAGTACAGTGGGACAAATTTTTACTATGAGAAGTTGTGCCTAGAGATAATTAGGAGTTCATTTTTCACAGTTTGGCATGAACAATCACACATGCGTACATTTGTCCACTGTGAAAGAAAATGCTTTTTGAATCATCATCATCACAACGTGGACATTGTCCTAGTAACCCAATGCAGTGACACTATTTATGATTATGTCCACACTAACCTTAGCTAGTATAAATCACCATCATTCCACTATGAATATACTAACATTCTCAAAATAACTTTAGTACTTTAGAAAACTGATGTAATTTCATCACCTAGAGACTACAATTCCCTGTTAGGCACAGATCAGGGAGGTGCCTAAGTGTTGCAGGAAAAACCTAGCTAGATCTAGTATGGTGCTAGCAATCAGCGGACTTTTCCATACTGCCTCATTTATATTCCTCTATTGAAGGAGTCATCTTTAAGTTGGAGCAAGACCAACATGACTCATGCATTTCTTGTTCTGTCTACTAAGACACCAATGACCGGACCAATTGGTACACATTGGGATGATGTCATGTGCAATACTGTTATGTGTCTATTAATAAGCGGTTAGTAGAGTTCTGGCAGATACTGAACAGTAAAAGCTGCAGTGATGTTCAATGAGCCCATAAGGTTCAATCCCACTGTTATCTGCAGAAAGCAGTCTGAACTGACACGGGTGGCTTTGACAGCAAGGTTAAGTTAGGGCTTGCATAAAAATAAACCTTCAAAAAGAATGTCTTACAAAGTCCCGGGTCTGATTTTTGCCATCCTTGTTCCACTCTTGTGGAATTCCTTGTTCTCTGAATACCCCCAGTGAGGTCTAAGTGATTGCTTAGGAACTAATATGTATTCTCCTCTTGAGTAAAATTTGACCCGTGTGATTATTCAGCCTTGGAGTATAAAGTTGGATCAGAAAACACAGACGGCTACTAAGAAAATATCATGGACTTAACAAAAAATGCATTAGCTAAGGTATCATCCGCCACCTAGAGAGTCACTTCAGAAGTGCAGGGAAACATAAAGCATGGCCCAAAGCAATCTTAATCGATGTTCTCGCAGGGTCCACTGGGAGATTCCCTGCCTGCCTGTAGCTCCCACTGATGTTCAGTGCCACACTGTGCAGAACAGTCCAGCAGGAGCCGTGATGAGATCCACCATGCAGAGTTGGAGTGACGCAGTTTCCTTTGTAATATGTAGTCTCTGCTCCATTAAATACACACCAAAGAACAGTAGGCTTTGATGTCCAAGGACAAAAACAAGGTATGCAGCCAGCATCATTTTGTAATTAACCAAAGGGGACTCTTTGTTACTAGTTCCAGTTCTCTGAAGGAAGAGGCTATGTTGAAAAGCAGAATTCATTTCCACTAATGCAGGTATAATTTGTAAAGTGTGCATTGTTTGCCTTCAAATACTATAATTCTCTACCAAAGGAATGTATTTGATTAGAGATAGTTAGGCTTAATTAAAAAAAAAAAAAAAAAGATTTGTACTATGTTTGATTTGATCCAGCTGTCTTTTCCGACTATGTGCTAGGGTTTTGTCATCTGTGACCTTTCATTTCTGCCTCTTCCCTTCCCTTCTCTGAGCTTTGATATCAACAATATATCCGTTTAATGTTAGGACTGTGTTCTTACATTTGTAGTCCTGAGGTTATATGTATGGAAACTTCAATATGTACATTCACAGGTGCATACTTTACATTACCAAATTTTTGAAACCACAATAAGCATATCCATTGTGTTTGTGCCTGTATATCCATGCACACAGCTGAGTCCTCCCCAAACGGCCACTAAACTTATACTACAGCATTTTTATCTACTGGAAAATACTTAATGTGTGTGAAGGGAAAGCATGAAGGTTTAAGGACACAAGACTGAAATTTTATTCGTACTCTGATTAGGAGCCTACTACAAATTTATTTACAACTAGTTCTCTTCTTCCAAAGACCATTGCAGTTTTTCAAACAACTTCTCCATTCAGCCCTATCAATAATGCCATGGCCTTAACCTCTGGACATGATACCAACTCACTTGAGAACACATTAGCTAACATAGAAATTAATGGAGCTAGTGTCAGCAGTACTATATAAAACAAAGTGACAGAGCTATGGTATGGTGTTATGTGACTGAAGTAGGAAATGCTCTTTCTGTCTATTGAGATGTGCCCATGAGATTCATTTCAGTCTTGGCATAATTGATTCACTCTTCCTCCCAGAAAAACCAGCCATGTGAAGTGTGCTCATTCTCTGACAGCACTTCCAAATGCTGCCTTGGGTTTTCAACAGAGTTTTACCTTTACTGCTAGAGAAGTCATGCAGGTTAAGCCCTCATTACTCTTTCCTTTTGGGCACAGCTGCTCTTTGCTGTGTGAATGGGATTGTGATTGGAATGCTACCTCTGGATCTGGGTCAAGCAAAGGAGGGACAAGGTACTTACAAAAAAGTGAACAGTGTTTCTAAGTCCTCTAAGTGAAAACTTGACTTGAAATGTTGGGTCAAAATCCCAATGTTCTATCTAGAAGCTGTTTTCAGTGGGTTGTTTTTTTCTGCCAGCCCTAATAAATGATCATTAGAACAATTTACCAATGGATGTGTTTGATTCTTCATCACTTGAAGCAAAATTGAATAACTAGAACATACCCTTCAGCTCAGCCATAAAATATAGAATCAACGAAGGAATTATTATAGAAGATTTTGTTGTGCAAAATGATCTTAATGATCCCTTCTAGCCTTATATGTCTATGGTTTGTGGACAGTACAGTATTAAGCTTTGCCTTCTGCTGCTAGACTGTTTCACTGATTCATTTAATTTGATGTCACTCTTGTGGTGTATTCAGACATCTTCTCTTTTTCTTCACTGGTAGTCACCTCCAAAAGTGCCACAGGAGAGAGAGATCAGTGTGATGTGGTCACCCTGACCGATCTTAACCAGAACAAAGTCCACAATACGGCAACTAATTCATGCAGTGAATTTTGTTTCCAGTCTATCAATTGTTGATACAGAGTTCACAATTTTATCTACTCTGTATTTTTAGACACACGCTTTAGAAACTGGTCACTATCCAGTTAGTCACAGAAAAAATTTCTGCACAGAATTTTTAATTCATAGATTTAAAAAGGCAGTTTAGATTTCAGTTCTGGTAGTTTTAATTGGATGCATAAATGACATGGTAATATACTGATGGTCTTATGGATGGACATATAGACTTAAGACTGGTACGTCTTATTATCGGTTGCCTAGTATTTGTAAGTTCAAAATGTGCTTTTTGAATGTATTTTCCTTTATTTGCTTAAAAATTGATTTAAAAATCTTGGAAGTATGTTTCCTAGAATGAATTAATCCAAAGTAGATGATGAAGATATGTGCAGTGAATTACAGTCAAATATCTAGAAACTTTTCTACAGATGTCTTTCCTAATTCTGGTTATAATGCCATTCCAATCTTTTCATTCACTGACTTAGCCATGAAGAAGCATGAGTCAGGAACCTCTTTTGGGGAGCCATGTTCTCTCCATATGATGCTCTGGGAACATCCAGATGAGCACACACGTGTGGTATGTGGTGCCATAGACCCGCTTGTGGTGTTGCACACCATACACACCAAACACGGAGGCATTCCTTGTGCTGCTAATTTGCAGCACAGCAGTTTTTGACACGAGAAGAACCTGGTGTAAAAAAAAAAAAAAATTTGCAGCACAAAAAAGCAGGGCAGAGCACATGGCAGCAGCGTACACGGCTAAGACTGGAGCCTGGCTAGCTAAAGTGATAC